ACTGTCATTGGATAGCTTGTGGCAGCATACAGTGAGTTTGATTTGTGTGCAGTTGGGACTTTCGTTTTCTCGCACACATACACTCGCATACGCACACATTTACATGCACGCGCTTATAATCACATTGCGTTGCATATTTAATGGCGCCAGCCCATGAGACTGTGAATGTGAGCGCAATTTTTTTTGTTGCTCGAACGGATATTTTGCTGCATTGTATTCGGAACTGCGTGCGAGCAATTTGTGTATGTGTGTATAAGTTGATGGAAAGTGCAAAACGTGTATATGTATGTATTATGTGTACTCTCGTACCAGGAAATGCTAAAATAAGGAAACTTTTTACACGTCATTCTCAAGTTTACTGCCTTTGTCTCCGCACCCTCGTATAAAACGTGAGTTAGCACATGATTCATTACACATACACTTGCAAGGTGTTATGGCTTGTGTGTATATTAGGGAGGGTGGTGCTTGTTAAAGGCAATGCTTTTGCACTCTGGAGTTAAATTTTGATATTTTTCCCTTAAGCGTTAAGGTTTAGTTTGCTATTTATACTGTGTAGGTGTGCAATATGAATCATATGAATATATTATTATATTTGTTTACACACATACATATGTATTATCGTAAATGATTAATAAAAAATCTAAAAATACACAACGATGAGTTTCTCTATCCCAACACCTATTGATACGCATGTACAATACATAATTTTATTTACAAATTAATTTTTATTTTATTTTGTTAAATTTTTTAAGTTCTTTCGAGATTCTTTGATTTGTACATGTATGCCGAAAAAATATGTATATTATATTCTTAATCATGTATTTCACACATAGTTTAACCTGAACTCCTATTTTTTTACTAAAAACAATTTTAATGCGCTTTTAATTAATTAAATAATTTTTTTACACTTTGCTCTTTGCCAATACATAACATACATATGCACACTCATTTGTTTTTTCTTTCGCAGACCACAAATACAATACATGATCTCACTTATCAAATATTTCGTCATATTTTTTTTGCTCTACATATAAACGAGCATTTGCGAAATATACATATATTATTTTATAATATTTCATTTAGACATTAATTGAGTTACGTAAAAATTATATGTAAATATTGATTTTGTTGGTGAAATGATAATCGGAATATCATAATTTAAAAGCACAAAAAACTAATTATTTGCAAAAAATCAAAATTAAAGAAAAGGAAGAATAATAAAATTGGAAAATAAAAAAATAAAATGAAATTAAATAAAAAAAATAAAATAAAATAAAAAAATAGAATAAAATAAAATAAAAAAAAATAAAAATAATATAATATAAAATAAAATTAAATAAAATAATTAAATAAAATCTAATAAATTATATAAAATAAAATAAAAAAATTTGATCAAATAAAGTAGAATTAAAAAAGTAAAATACAATGAAAAGAAACGAAATGCAATAAAATAATATAAAATCAAAATAATTTAGTATGAAAAATAATTTTAAAAGAAAAATAATTTAAAACGGAAAATAATTTAAAATAAAAAATAATTTAATATGAAAAAAATATAAAAAGGAAATAAAAACCAGTAGTGATAAAAAAGGAAAAATGATAAACAAAGAAAAATGATAAAAAAAAAGAAAAATAATATGAAAATAGAAATGATTTAAAAAGAAAAAAGAAATAAAAAAAAAAACGATAAAAAATTAAAAAAAAATAATAAAATTAAAAAAAATAATAAAATGAAAAATAGATGAAAATAATGAAATAAATTTAAAAAAATTAAATAATAAATAAAATAATAAACAAAATAAAATAAAAAAATAAAATAACAATATAAAACAATATATAACATAGAATAGTAAATAAAATAATAAACAAAATAGAATAATAAATAAAATAGTGAACAAAAAAAAAAAATAAAAAAAAATAAAATAGTGAACAAAATAAAATAGTGAACAAAATAAAATAGTGAACAATATAAAATAAAAAAAAATATAATAAAAAAAAAATTAAATAAAAAAATATAATAAAAAATAATAAAATAAAAAAAAAATAAAATAAAAAAAAATAAAATAAATAAAAATAAAATAAAAAAAATAAAATAATTAAAAAAAATTAAATAAAAAGAAATAAAATAAAAAATAAAAAAAACAAAAAAAAATATAAACAATAAAAATAACAAAAATTAATTAGAAAAAATAAAATAAAAGAAAAATAAAAGAAAAATAAAATAAAAAATTAAAATAAAAAATTAAAATAAAAAATTAAAATAAAATAAATAAAATAGAATAATAAATAAATAATATATAAAATAGAATAATAAATAAATAATATATAAAATATAATAATAAAGAAATAATATATAAAATATAATAATAAATAAATAATATATAAAATATAATAATAAATAAAATAATAAACATTAAATTAAATTTAAAAAAAAAAATAAAATAAAATATAATAAGGATAAAATAAAATTAAGACTTATATAAAATCATTGATGTCTTTTTTATAAAATAAATGTTCTAAAATTTACAAAGTAGGAATGCTAACTCCATTTCACTTCTGCAATGAACACCTGCATAATATTCTTGGCTCGCATGTAAATATGCTAATTAAAAATCGTTCGGCATTTCCTTGCATTAACTTTGTTGTTGTGTATGTTTTGTCACTTTCCCGGCATAAAGAAGAATAAATTTATAGCCATTCAAAGTGATTGCAACCAAAGTGTGCATAAATTTCGCTCAACAGTCAGCAACGAGAACATGAGGCGTCGTCGGTTTGGTTGAGGTAGCATGTCATATAGAACTAAGCAGGATTGTAGTTGCACACGATTTATAGCTTTGCGGTAACTTCGAAAAGTAAATTATTGTTGCTGGCATAACACCTTGACAGAAATAGCAATTTAAGCGTGTATTTAAGGAGTTCAAGTGGCGAAATGCCGAGCACGATTATGTAAAGAATAGAAAATGTGTGCTTGTGTGTGGCTTTGTATTTGTTTGTTGGCAAATAAAAAGCGAATTTGCATTAAATTTTTTTTTATATATTTTATTTTGTAGAGTTTAACCTCAATTTGCTGCCATTAGCGGCCCAGTTTTAAACCATACTTTTCTTTCACTTACTATAAGTATCCTTTTGGTGTGCTTACATCGCACATGCACTCAGCTACATATAAACATATGCAAATATTTATAAAAATCAAATTTTGTGCACCAAATAACTGCCGTGTTCGTTCTCAATTTGCATGCATGCAAAGGCATACGGTCCAAGTAAAAACTTGCTTGTTTTGAGAAGGCCATAAATTTACAAAAAAAAAGTAAATAAATTAGTAAAAAATATAAACTAAAAAAATTCGGAACTAAAAGCATGGTCATATCTCACGCTCCTTTGACTTGAACCAAAACTTTCCACCAGAACAGAATATTCCTTTTAGTCAGTCGCTCACTCTTACCCGTCTAAGCACGCTTACTGCAACAATCGGTGGCACGCGGTTCTTGTACTGTATGTTGCATGCAACTATAGCAACTTTTAATTTTAGATTTTTATCGATGCGCTTACAGAAAGTCGAAAAGTGCAAGTCGAATTCATATATTTGAATTACATATAAACTAACATAAAATGAAAAAGTAAGGAAGAATGTTGCTCTGGTGGCCCGAAATATTAAATAACATTTGCGTTAAAAAAAATTGAAATTTGGTTTCCCGCGTATTTTTGTATTTGTTCGATCAAAGCTAGTTTTTTCAATGATTGTTTTTTTGAATTCTTAAGAAGTTTAATTTTTATTCCTTTCTTTTTCTATTTTAATTTTTATTTATTACGATATTTGTGTTATTTATATAATTGGCACTTTGTACCCGCCGAGCTCCTCCTCCTCCAATTTGTGATAAGCCTCTTGATGTTTTTCCACTAAACGGAGGGACCTACCGTTTTTTATAAACCGCCTCCGAACAGCTGATGGTTTTCTTATAAGGCGGGGTAGACGTTCCCTGTCCAAGGGTAACCGCAATTGGAAAATTTAACTTAGTTTTTTTTTACTGACATTACTACTTGTATTGTATTGCTTCTGTTTAATATTGTCGACAAATTTTGTCAGACACTTTGTCAAATTTGTTCTTCAAAAAAAAAAAAAAAAGAAAAGAAAAAAAAAATCACTGCTTTTGAGTAATTTTTTTTTTTTTTAGCTATTTTCCGAAAAATGCTAAATTATTCCTGCTAAAATATATTTGTTTGTCGAAAGAATAAAAAAAAATTTATTTTTTTTGAAACCGTTTAATGTTTCGTAAACCTTTTAGGAATGAAAAGCGTTTCAGTGCTTATTCAAACATTATACTCTTGAAGCCATTTTTTTATTATATTTTTTTAATATTTTTTTAATTTATTTAGTTTTTATTTCTTTTTGTATTGTTTTAAATATATTTGAATTATTTCCTCAATTTTTTTTATTTCCGGCTTGAGTTTTTTTTATTTTTTTAATTTATTTTAGTTTTTTATTCCTTTTAATTTTTTTATTAGTTTTAATTTTTTTTATATTTAAGTTAGTTTTATTTTTAATTTTTTTTTATTTTCTATTTTTTTTATTTTTATTTATTTAATTTTTTTCATTTCTTTTTATTAATTTTTTATTGTTTTCATTTTGTAATGGTCTTAATTTTTTAATTTTTTATTTAGTTTTATTTTTAATTTTTTTTTTATTTTTTATTTGTATTCAAACTTTGTTGTCAGTTCTTTACTGAGTATTTCTCAATATTATTTTTGTAAATCCCAATTAGCAAGAAGTATTTTGTTTTCGTTCTTCATGTAATACTATTATATAAGTATATGTATAATTTTCTTACAAGCAAACTCAATATACCCTTGCAAGAAGTTACGTCCTGTATTGAGAATATATGTATCCTTTGGGCGTCGAATGTTGAAGAGAACTCATAAATTATGGCATTAAAAAAAAAAACATACACACACAAATAAAATACAGAAAGATTTCAAAAATCAACAACTTTGGGTTATTTTAGATATTTTCCAATTTTACAGTGAAGCATATTTTGTGCTGAAGCAATTAAAACTGTACATAAAATATATAAGCAAACATACATATAGTCATGTATATTGACTTTAAAAATAATCCAAACAACAAAAATAAACTTGAAAAATCTACGTAAAACAGTGACGTAGCAACAAAATAAAGCAAAGTGTAAAAGCCAAGAACATTATATCTGAAAAAAAAAATCGAAGAAAATTGTGGAAAAATCGAAAAAGAATTCATCGTTGCGGTAAAGTTAATTATTGACTGTAGTCCAACGACGTCATCCTCATCATCCTCGTCACCAGCATCAGACCAGCAGCGCCAACAGCGCGAAGCAGCTAAAAATACATATAGAATATACAGAGTGTAGAAAATTGTAGATGCACACAGTAGCGTATAGCATGCAGGGCTGGAGCGTAGTTCTAGCCAAAACACACGACTACAGCAAGTGATTTCTCGACACACTACACCGCGTTGGTCGGCAAGTAAGCCCAATCGAACTCATAAAGTTTAAAAATAAATATTACAAGAAAGAAAAAATAAATATTATAAGCCAAAGCAAAGTGTAGCAGTAATAAGAAATCAATAAGACGAAAGAGAAGAAAAGAACCAAAAAAAAAAAAAAATATATTTATTTAAGTGTTGAAAAATATTTCCATTTGTACGGTGAAGTTCAGAAACAAAGTAACACATTGTAAGAAGTGCAACATTTCCTACAGCAACATTTTCTCAACGGCATTGGTGCACTAGCAACACAAATAAATAAAAATATTACAATTTTCTTCTTACAAAGCAAAAATACATATAAATGTTGCCAATGTGTGACGGCTATTAGTGGGCTCTTTCTCGATCGATGTTGTTAACGTTCTTCAGCTTCCTCATGCGTTTCGTAGACATTTCCAAATTGCACACCGAACGGTGCAATTGCACAAACAACGCTGCCGACGATTGCCAAAATAAGGTGAAATGTTGGCAACAAGCCGCAGCCGCAGCGGCCGCTGCTGCCGCACACAAAGCCAATGTGGCTAATTCGAATAGCAGCAGCACTAGCAGCGGCTGTGATAGTAATGCTTCCTCTGCTGATTCTGCGGCCAGTTCGTCCAAAGAGAACTACTACACGCTCACGCGACAGCGGCGGCGGCAGCAGCTGCAGCAGCAGCATCGTCAGATTGCGCAACAACAACATCAGTGTATAACTCCCGAGCAGCTGCAACAAATACGTTATTATCAACAAATGCAGCAGCAGCAACTACAATTATTACAACAACAATTGTTGCAGCGTCGTCGCCTGCAGCAACATTTGCGCGAGCAGGGCGTGACAGTGGGCGGCGTAGGCCATACGCGCAAGCTGAGTGGTGCTGCTGCTGCTGCTGCTGATGGTGGAAAAGTCAGCGCTGCTCAAGTTCAGCCGATAGCAGCGCAAACATCACCGGCTTTGACTTGTAATCAACAATATTTGATACAACAACGAATGCTGCAACAACAACGAATGCTGCAACAACAACCGCAACAAGCACAATGGTTGCAGCAACAGCAACAACAACACAGCAATCATAATTATCAAAATCTCAATAATTTACTCGACAACAATCAAATGTTGACTGATAACGATTTCTTGAACAACAATGGCGATTTGGCTGAGCTTTTCGGTGACTTGAGCGTTAATGGATACGAAAAAGGTTTGCCATAAAATTTATTTATGATAACGTTTTTTTTTTAGTATAAAGCTCATTGTGTTTTTGGGCTGATTTTTTCGAAATTCACCATTTCGAGAAAATTTATACACTCTCATTGTAATAAATGAAATTACGGTAAAAATATTGAAATTAAACAGCTTTTAAAATCCGTGCGTCCTCCTGGAAATAATTATAAATAATTTTTCCACTCATAGAATTTTTTTTTTTTAATTTTGAATTATTCAATCTACTTGCTATGACTTAAAAGATAATACCAAAAAATAGCAAAAAAAATTTTTTTTAGGATTATGTTTCGATACCCAAAAAGATCGTAATTTAGTGTGTTACACCTCAAAGAAGCCCTTGTTCATATTGGCTAAAAATTGGGATAATCGGTTTCCACATAATTCTCTTGAGGTCAAATTTTCACCAACTAAATTATTCGCCATATACAAGAAAATACGGTAATCACTTGATGCGAGGTCCGGTCTATAAGATGAATGAATAAGAACCTCCCAACCGAGACCCCGGACCTTCTGGCGAGTCACCATCGATGTGTGTGGTCTAGCGTAGTCCTAATGGAACAAAATTCTCCGCCTGTAAGTGATTCATCTTTCACCACAAGCCACCATCTGATTCAGAAATAAATCGACTTTTTTACGATTCAACAGCGACTCGCAGATGGAGCTTCGTGAGGTTTTTTCTTGTTGTGGCATACATACATCTGATCTTTGAGTGCCCAGGCGTTTCTAAGTGGTTCTAAACTTTTTTCTTTGTAATGTTTAGCTCTTGAACAATCAAACCAGTGCTCGCATAATGGTCAGACTTGACGATTTCCGTTATTTCATCGACATTATGGAATGCCAAAATTTATCATATTATTTAATATTTTATATTATTTTATTACATTTTATTTCAATTTAGTTTGTTATCTTGTTTATTTATTTTAATTTATTTCATTTTAAGTCAATTTTGCCATTTCTTTTTATCTTACTTTATTTTAATTCATTGATTTCATTATATATTATTTTTTTTATTTAATTTTCTTTTGTAATACTTCATTTAATTTTATTTATATCATTTTATTTTACGATATTTGACATAATTTTTTGTAATATTTTATTAAACTTAAACTTGTTTTATTTAAGTTTTTTAGACTATTTATTATATTCTTTTGTAATTTACTTTATTTCATATTCTATTTTTCTATTTTTTTGTTTCATTTATTTTATTTTAGTTTTTATTATGTCACGTTAATTATCCTAGTTCTTTTTATTATATTCATTATAATTTGTTTTACTTTAATTAATTAATTAATTTTATTTTATTTATTTTAATTTAACTGATTTTTCGCGATTTATTTATTACATTATTTTATTCTATTTTAATGTATTTTATTTTGCTTCATTTAATTTACTTTATTTTGTTAAAATATTACACTTCAATGCTTAAATATGCTTACATATTTTAATTTCACAAATTTTTTTTTTCTAGAATAAATACATATGTATGCATATGTATCGAAATTAATTTCATAAATTCTAGAGACTTGTTTCTGTTGCACCAGTATTTGCTATTTTAGTTACATAAACGTTGACAGCTGTCAAAATGACACTGCTCTTGGTAGTGTCTATGACCCTTATTTTGACAAGTTTCTGACTCTCATGCTATAAATATGCGAAATCATTATCATATGTATTGATGTGTACTAATATCTATATATGTATCCATGTATGTACGTATACATATTTAGTTATTTTTGCACATTGATTGTTCTTTATACGAATCGTATACCTTCAATTTTGAAGAAAAACCATTTGTGGTGGGCCAAAGCTACGAAAACTTGGTCATTCGACCATATGACGATTGATTAGCGAGCTGATGACCACATGTGTGCTGCGTGCTCGTTCGTCATTGGCAAATGAGTTTTTTCGCTGTGCGAAAAGTAATAAATAAAAAATAAGAAACCATAAAACTTAAACAATTAATATTGTTTGAACGCGAAGAAAGTGCTTATGTATGTACGCGAAATGAATTTTTTTTTTTAAGATTCATAAATAATTATTTTTATAAAGACTTAAAGTCATAAAGTAATAAAGTATGTACATACATACATATATATTTTATGAACTTATCTTGTTTTAGATTTTTTGTTTTCATTTTAATATATTTTCGTAATTTCTTTTATCATACTATTTGTTTCAAATATTTTGTTAATTTCTGTTTTTTTTTTGCAAGTGCGGTTCCTGCATTTAATCTTTTAAAATTAATTTATTCCTTTTTTAGGTTATGTTTTTTGTACAGTTCACTTTAAACATCAAAGACCGCTTTCTCTTTAATTTATTAATTTTTTTTTGTATCTGGCACTGCATTGTGCATACAATAATGGCTTTAGTATCTGACCGTAGATAAATTGCAGTAAATTGAATTGACTTAAGGTTGAAAAGTTACTGTCTGAGTGTGGTGAATATTCATTTAATTGTGTGTTTAAAGTACATTTAAGTGCTTTTGGATTAGCGAAAATGTTCAGCAGACATGATTCTTCAATAAAGCTTGCATTTATTTATAGTTAAAGTACAATACATGCAGATCGACTGTTTCATTTTGATAACTGCCAGTTTATAATCTTTCATTTTTCTGCTTTGTTCTATACAATCGGCGAAAATGCCAGACAATTTAGAGGAGTAAATATTTATTTAAGTGTATAGTGTGCATTTGTAGCTACGTTTTCTTATTTTCAACGAAGAAGCGAGGCAAGTTTTGTTAGATATATTAAATATTATAATTAATAATTTGTATTATAGTCATAGTCTGCTTATATTGATAAAAATCAAATTTTGTCAAATTTAAATTTAATTTCAAATTTTTTGAATACATTTTTAAATTATTATTTTGAAATTTTCTTTTATTATATTTTATTATTTTTTTATTAATTTTATTTATAATTTAATTTTTATTATTATCTTTAATTATATTTATTATTATTTTTTTTTTATTAATTACTAACTTTGTTTGATAAATAAAGCTTTTTTAATTTTATTTAGTAATTTTTTTTTTATTTAATCAAAAAAATATTTATAATGTTTTATTTAATTTTGTTTCCTGCGCTGTAGGGGTTCGAAGTTTATATGTATGTACATATTTAAAAAATTATAAAATTATGCGACTTAAGTAAAACTAATCGCATTCCAAACTTTATTTTAACATAACAATTAATGGGGGTCGCCTATTCGGGTATTTTGAAAATTGGAGATGAGTCAAATTAGTCGCTTCCGACGGACAATATTTTGAGTGATGTATTTTTTTTTTTTTTTTTTTACTTTTTGTCGATAAATAATACTTTTTTTTTGAACACAAAGGAACAGAGACCGAATCAATTTGTACAGCCAATAGTATGTAGAATTAGTCTTTAACTGAAAATGCTGATTAGTTACACATAAATTTGACTAAATAGTTATTACGCGATTAATCATTTTTTGAGTAGCCCGAATAGTTAGTTCATCGGTTAATTGCACTAGCTTAATTAACTATTGTGATTTGATTAAACACCAGCCTATTTAATCAAATCCCAGATTAATTAAGGCGTATTATTATTATTATTACTATTCAGTTACATTCACTAAAGATTATTTTAATATAATACATAAATCCCTATTTACTTTGAAGGCAAATCAAAAAAAAAAACTTGTAATTTTCTTACATTTCAATTAAAAACTTTATTAGACTTACTGATTAATCAAATTTTTTTAAAAATAACTAAAATGAAAAATAATTAATTATTGATTTTTTCTTAAATTTATACGTTTAAATTGATAAATTCTCATAAATTTTATTTTTTTACCAATTAATCTATTTACTGAATTCCTGAGTTAAAGCATTCCTTCATACAAATAAATCCAATATTTTTTTTTTAATTTTTCCATAAGAAAAGAAATATGTAACATATAATATATAACGTAGAAGCTCACAAAAATATTTCCCGATAAATATTTATTTGCTGCAGCTTAACGCATTTTGGAGAGGAAATGATCCGTTAGGCTTATTATTTACAATTTTATTATTTTACACTTTTATTCTTTGCTTTTAATTTATTTCAGGCAGAGAATATTTTTTCTGCTTTTCTGCCGGCTTCCTTGCAGACAAATGTGTTTCATAAAAGTAGATATGTATGTACATACATATGCAGATGCTTTCGTTGTTTCTATTTTTTATAACGTTTCGAATTTGAACGGTTGCCACTTTTTGCTCTCTTTCGTTCCTCTCTTTTAATATTTTATTGCCGATGAGCGCATATTTTCGCCCACACTTTGAACTGACTTATAAACGTTTTCTTCATACGTGTACATACATACACACGTAAATATGCATAAAAAATTTATACATATATATGTGTATATAATACCAGCGGTTCAATATGGTTGCCCACATTCCAGGCGTTTTCATATATATTAATACTATGTATGCAGTTTTATAAAATTTTATTAAAGCTCTCCAGCTTCCCTTTGTTTGGAAAAACAACCGAATATTTATACCAAAATATTATATATGCACACATATACATTTGTATGCTTATATATACATACACACTTTGCTTTATTCCTTTTAAAATGTTTACTTGTTTGTTTTATTTTCTATATATATATATATATATTTATATTTATATTTATATATAATGTATGTATGCATTGAATGCTCTTTTTTCATTCGTTGAATTTTTAAACATATTTGTAAAGTTAGTTGTATTATGTAAATGAGGCAAGTTGATTTCTATAAAAAGAATCCGTGAATAATTGTATGAATTTATGGTACATATATACGTATATATAATATAAGCGAGTTTCTCGTGTACAAACAAAATACGACTGTATGAAATGAGGTCGAGTAAACACTTTGATAGGGCCTGCAGTAAAATTAATTGATTTAAAGCTAAGCGCTAAAGACAGGACCAAATGTTATATTTCAGAAGAACAGTGATTGAGAACCTTAGGGGGTTCCGACAAGTT